TCTGAATCTTCAGAGAGGTATAAGGAAAGAAATTACAAGCATAAAACAGGAATAGGATGCTATTAAGAAAAGGAATATTAAAAAAATCAAGCTTTTGGAAATTGAAACATGAAAGCAGAAATGAAAAATATTTATAGCAGAATCAGGACAGAATTAAATCTCTCAGAAAGTAGCGCAAAAAGAGGAGAGAAAAAAATAAATTGGAGGACCGGTCCAGGAGACCCATTATCCAAATAATAGAAAAACTGGAGAGAGACAGAGAAAATGGAGAGAGGAAGCCGCAACAAAATCATTCAAAACATTTTATGAGAACTCATGGACATAAATTTATAAATTTTAGGGACCCACTGAATTTCCAGCACGGTAGATCAAAATACACAATCACTATCATTGTGAAATTTCTGAACACTGAGGGAGAAATTACAGAGAAAGAAAAAGTCAAACTGAAAGAACCTAGAATTTGAATATCAGACTTCTCAACAGCAACACTGGAGGCTAAAAGTCAGTGAAGCATGACCTTCAGAATTCTTAAGTAAAATTACAACCCACGTGGAATTTCTTACCCAGTCAAACTTTCAATAATTTGAAATGACTTTTGAAAGTCATTTTCAGATATCAAGGTCATTGAAAATTTATTTCCCAGGAAGCTACTGGGAGATGTGCTTCACCATAATGGAGTAAGCCAAGAAAACAGATGTGGGATTCAGAAAATAGGAAATCCAACAAAGGAGAAAGGCAAAGGAGATTCTCAGAATGATGGTGAAATGAGGTTGTGGGGGCATAGAGGGTCAGTTCAGATGTGAGCAGATGAGAAGATTCTAGAAGAGCTTTCTCCAGGAAGATGAAATTGATAGACTGCATGATGTCTTAACTTCTTGAGAGGAGAGTCAGGCAATTGATAGGTAGTTTTGGATTGAGTACATAGAAAACTAAAGTGGAAAAATCCCAAGATAATTATTCACTCGAGAGAAAAAAGTTACATAGGAAAAGAAAATCAGTGACACATGGTTATGCGTCACTTAATGATGGGAATATGTTCTGAGAAATGCATCATTAGGCGATTTTGTTGTTGTGTGAAAATCAGAGAGTACTTACACAAATCTAGATGGTACAGCCTACTACACACCTAGGCTGTATGGTACTCATCTTATGGGACCACCATTGTGTACATGGTCCATTGTTGACTGAAATGTTGTTATGTGGCACATTACTGTATTAATACATGTAGTTCAGCTCTGAATAATATTTAAATCATCATGATAATAGAAACCGAATATTGATCCAGCCCAAATTACTATATAACCGTATTGGGAGGATGGATGAAGGGAAGAGTTTATGTGTGTATGGGTGATGTGTGTGTGCTGTGGGGCTGACAGGAAGAGAGAGGATCACATCTTTATTTCCCCTGGGAAAAGTCTACAGACAGTACTGAAATAGAAAATTGAAAAGGAGCAATACAATCACACTACTTAGCTCAATGGTGTTAATGAAATAATCAGCTAAAAGAGTTGAGGAAGTGGAAATTGGTGGCATATGGGACAGGAGACTGATAATTTTATACCAAACCTTTTAGAACTATTTAACTCTTTAAACTATGTGCATGTATAATTTTGATACAAATAAAAATATTAAAAATACAAGCAATTGCTACTGCCATTTTGTTATACTTTTTTTATGTATGTATGTACACATACACATACACATACCCACACACACATACACACGATGCATTTTTTGAGTGTTTGCTTTGGGCCAGATATTACATTGGACTTTGGGAACACAGTGCAGATGAGATAAGTATGATTCCATCCCATGAAAACGTTCTCTGAAATGCTGAAAAGTAAATTTCAAACACTTTGTGGAAAATAATAGACCATATGATAGTTCAATTTTCGGCTAGTGAGATGTCTGTAAAATCAACTGAAATCGTCACTAGTAGTTCAGTTATATGCCTGGGAGGCACTGTTGTCACGTTATATCTGTTGTCATATTGTCACACAAAACCTACAAAGTAAGTATTGATATCTGAGGCTCAGGAGGGCCAAGCAGATTGCCTAAAATCGTACAGCAAGTTGGTGGCAGAGCTGGGATTTGAACTCTGGTCTTCCTGCTTCACATCCATACCCTAGATTGTGATCAATTGAAACATTTTTCCAGGTAATCTGATATCTGCAATGAACAAGATCAAGCGTCCATCTTTGAGGGAAGCTAATATAAAGATCATCCTCAGAGTACCTTGGCATTGAGAGGTGACATTTTCTTTGTTTGAAAGACATAGAGGAGAAAAAGCTCAATAAGCATAGGGTATTATCTTTCTTTCTTCCATGAGGGAGATTTTAGCAGAGTTAGTACTTAAATTCACCAGCAGAGTCCACACTCAGGTAAATTGGAATTCATTCAGCATTTATTGAGCACCCTGTAAATCAAACCCTTAAAAGTTCAAAAATGAATGAGACACCAGTGAGCACATGCATCTATTGCGCCGTGGATGTATGTTCAATGTTAAAATGCCTTGGGTTAAGACTAGACCTTGTACGACTAGAGTGATTGCATATTTACTTACCTATCTTTTGTTTAATTGATGTTTTGGACTTTGGTAGCTTAATTTTTAAAATGGTTGGATATATTCTTAAAATGAAATTTCATTACTTTCATAAACGTGGAATATTTGCCTCTAGACTAGCCTTTCCCAAGTGTGTTCTGCAGAGCCTTGGTCCATCAAGATGTTTGTTAAATCAAGAGGTGACGGTCCACGTAAATTTGGAGAATGCTGGATATAATATCCTCTTTTTGGAGATTTGCAATGAACTCTGAGACTCTGAGATGGTTTTATATGAAAGAACCATATGTTACTATATGTAACCAGCGTTTCCAAAATTTTTTCAAACGTGGATTCATTTTTTTGGTCAACTTCTAGAGTTACGTGGAACGCATTTTATGAAACGGGATTCCAGATTATTTTCCTTTTCCAGAAAATTCATACATTGTGATCTGCAGGCTCCTTTTAGCCATGAAACGCTGTGGCTTTACAATTTTAATCATCAGTCAGTTTCATGTCAGTCACTTTGATTTATAATTTGTTGGGTTGTGTTGGAAAACCCAGAGTTGGTATGTTAAGAATATGCAGATTATTACCTGCTGAATGAGGAGGCACAAGCCACCCACAGGGAGTTGGCAGATAGCTCTCTCCTGGCATCTGAGCTTCCACTTTGTGGAAGTGGAAACCCTGGGGCCGTTTTGATTGAAGGTGCAGTTTCGATACACTCACACAAAGGAAGTAAAGTCACAAGGTTTATTGCTTACAAATCCCAGAATGGGGGCACAGTTAACCTTGGGAAGGGCAGTCCTCCATCCCAGGTCATGAGTAATCAGGAGATGTAGAGCAGGGTAGCAAGCACCTATTACTTATAAGGTGATTGAGGCAGCGGTCACTGATTTTTTGAGGGCTTAACTCTGAGCAGTCTTTTTAAAAGATGCCCTGGGAGAAGCAAGGTGGGAACTTGTGGCAGGAATCCTAATCTTTGGTCCTTATCTAAGTATCTAGACTCTGGGTGAGAACAAGGTTGTCATACTGTAAAATGCCTACATGCAACTCAGGCATGGGTTGCAATTGTCAAATATACATGTAAACAATGTCCTATTTTACCCTTGAAATCATATCTTTTTTTTGTTTTGTTTTTGTTTTGGTGAGGAAGATCAGCCCTGAGCTAACATCCATGCGAATCCTCCTCTTTTTGCTGAGGAAGACCGGCTCTGAGCTAACATCTGTTGCCAATCCTCCTTTTTTTCCCTTTTTCTCCCCAAAGCCCTAGTAGATAGTTGTATGTCATAGTTGCACATCCTTCTAGTTGCTGTTTGTGGGACGCCACCTCAGCATGGCCGGACAAGCGGTGTGTCGGTGCGCACCCGGGATCCGAACCTGGGCCGCCAGTAGCGAGCTTGCGCACCTAACCGCTAAGCCATGGAGCCAGCCCTGAAATCATATCTTTGATGCATAATCTTAAAGATATGATCATGAGTCACTATCTTCTTTGAAATGTAGTTTGGAAATATATACCCCAGCATTATAAATATTTTCTATTAAATTGTTCCAGAAATTATGTATATTTATATGTACATATGCATACGTGTGTGGACGTGTATATGTGTATATGTACAAGCACATCCACACACACATCATATATGGACAATTTTAAAGCATACTCCATTGTATCATAATTTATCAAGGAAGGAAGTAATTTGGTGTGTTTCCAGTTTTTTGCTGTAGTGAATATCCCTACACACAAAATCTTTGCATGATTGGACGGTTACATCTGTGTGTTAAGCTAGAAGTATAATTCTGGGTCAAAAGTATATGCATTCTAAATTTTAATAGCTATTCATTGTCCAAAAGGTTGGACCAGCTTACATTTAGCAACTGTATGAAAGTGTCAGCTTTACCTCTCCCATCTCTGGCAACACAAGTAGATGTTATTGAACTAAAATCTTAGCTAATATCGTTTTACTAAATGGAAATTCATTATCTCAAAAAGTACTATTGTTTCATGTGTTACTCTATATTTATTATTTATCCATTTATTTAATAGAATTGTAAAGTTATTTGGGGACTAAGAAGAAGTCTTTGTACTCAAGCAGTTACCATCTGTGATTACTATGCATGAAATTAATGACAATAACTTAAAACTTTATTTTATTATTAAACATGATATATAAATTTTTTCTTTAGAAAACAATTCAAGCATTAATTTATTTATTTTGATTGAAAATATTTGTTTCTATGAAATTTTGCTTTAATAGATTCTGCCGTAGAAATAAAATATCATAGCCTTTGTGGAAAAATTGCAGAGAGGAGGCACTTGAGCATGAAGATATTTTTCAGATGTCCACATTTTCTTATGACATTTTTAGTTTTTACTGTGTCTTGTTGGACTGTAAAAAGACTTTTCATTCTGCTGTGGAGAAAGTCAGTAACATAACTGATTCATTTTTTTTGCGTGAAGGAGGAAGACAATGGTCCTATAGTGCCCTTGGATGAGAAACGGAAACCTTTGAGCTGCAGCTTTGGTTTATCCTCAAATCCTGCATTGTTTGTCTTCGTCTAATCCAGCTGGATGGACATCTGTGACAGCTGCCAGTACACATGCTCTAATGAAATATTTGAAATGGCTGTACATTCAAAAGAAACGCCATATTGTATATCCACATCACTGCTGCTAGTATTCATATTTTTGCACATACTGTTTATTGCTTATGTGTAGAAAAAATGAAACTAGTTTTCAGAGTTGTTATTAATATGAATATATATATCATGCATTAATATTGAGACAGGAAAAATACATTTTCAGCGTTAGCAGTCCTTCGTTTCCTGTCTCCAATGGAAAATTCACTCATTCGGAGAATAATGTAATTCTTGATAATAAAATAAGAGTTTTGATCAAGAACAGCATACAGCTTCAAAATGGAATGTGGAGGATTAATAAAAATCATGGCTCATGTTATTTTTCAGCCCTCATACCACAATTAATGTCAGGCTCGTTTGTTATAGAATACAATTTGGGAGTTAATGCAAGAATGTAATGCTCAATTTATATATTACTTTCTTAGTTAAGGGATTTAATTGAATATATGAATCTAATTGTATTTGTTTGACATATTAGAAGCTGTGGTGTCTAGGAATTTGAGAAAAGTATAAGAAATAGAATAAAAAGAAAGTGGGTACCACATACTGGGAATAGCTTTATTTTCCATGATAAAAACAAAAATTTAATAGATCCTGTAACAATTTAATGTGGTACATTTTGTAAGACTTTAAAATATTTTATTCTATGGATTTCTCTTCTTATGGAGACGTTTCTTTCAAAGATGAGCAAAAATATCCTTATTTTAATTAATTTTAAGTGCTACTGGCAAATTTGAGCATATTCTTAGATGCAGTTAGATGTGACAGAATGAGATAATTTATGTAAAAGAGTGCCTGGCACAAAGCAAGTACTTAATAAATGTTATTTGTTGTTGTTATAATTATTGTTGTAAAACTAACGACTTCAATATCATAATCCCAATTTGGACGGATTTTGTGGTGCAAAATATCTAAATTATAAATAGAAACAATACAGATGGAATAAGTATGTGTTGAGAGATTTTAGATGCGTTGGGTAGCACTTGTATAATGAAAGCATTAAATACAAATAAGAATCACACCACGTATACCTGAAATCAGAAGTGAAGAAGCTTCATGGTGGAGCCTTGGGCAGGGAGAGATAGGGCCAGAGCTGCAGCAGAGTGAGGAAAGCCAAGGCTTGTGAAGGACCAGGATCTGTCAGTAGCCCTGGACCACATTAGGGCAGCATCAAGCAGAACCTCTGAGAGGCAGAGAGAGCTCCTAGAGTCTTCCCTTGTGTAGTTTTTTACATACAAAAATGAAGAAATGGCCAATCATGGTTACAAAAACTGTGGCACATTTAAACACTTCTAGACAAAAACTGATACCACACACTTGCCGAACATTGGCTGCAGGTGTAGCCTCATTTGTAGTTCACATCAAAAGACGAAATCTGAATCTTGTTGTGAATGAGAGGCCAGTCAGATGGTGGCCCGGCACTCCTTTGGTAGGTGCTGCCTTCAGGCCCTGGAACGAAACAGTACGCAGGCCCCCAGCCTCTCTGCTCCTGATGGGTTGGTACTGCGCAGCGCGGGACTGTTCTTGGACTTAACTTCTAATACTTCTTGTAGTCTCCAACCATCCTTCCCTGAAAAATGCAAAATAAGCACATCAACAAACTAATTCAAATGACTTTCATGGTATTATCTATTTGCTTATATTTCCCCCTCCAAAATGCTTTTTTTATTGAAACAATCAAATTTATTTACTGTATATTTTCTGAGTCAAAAGACTGAAATGAACTACTCGGTTCAGCTTGTGGTGTCTGTTGGTGAGATTGTGTGGAAGCTTAATATTCTTTAATATGTAAAACCCCTTCATTCCACAATTAGGTAGCTCAGACTTAGAATACGAATACTGTTTATAGTGATGCTTTTGTGGGAATAAACTTGAAAGGGTGATTTGTCAGTCAACAAAAGTGCAAGAAACTGATCTCAAATCTATCTTGTTTTCAAGGTGGCAGGGGAAAGAAAAGTAAAAGTATTTGATGGGCCCTGAAGGGAAGGAGCCTCCCAAAGCAAAAGTGTGTGTGCGGGAGGAGTTAACTAGGGATAAATGACAAATTTCACAGATCTTGAAATTTAATTTAGGGTAGATTTTGTTTACCTAACACAGGAAAAAAAGGCAACAAACTGAGGTGCGTTTTCACATAGCTTACACATATATAAGCACCTGACTCATGGTAATTAATGTTCCTGATGGTGTGTAAAGTAATATTGTCTCAGAAAGTTTGTCAGTTAATTTGAGTCTTCCTTTTTTTTTGTGGGTCAGTCTAGCTAAAGACTTGCTGATTTTGTTGATCCTTTCAAAGAACCAACGTTTGATTTTGTTGGTTTTCTCTCCCGTGTTTCTATTCTCTGTTCATTTAGTTCTGCTCTAATCTTTATTATTTCCTTCCTTCTGCTTGCTTTGGGTTTAGTCTGTGCTTTTTCCAGTATCTTAAGGTGGCAGGTTAGGTTATTGGTTTGAGATCTGCTTTTTTAATAAGGGCATTTGCAGTTCTAAATTTTCCTCTAAGCATTGCTTTGTGGGCATCCTGTAAGCTTTGTTTGTTATGTTTTTGTTTTCTTTCATCTCAAAGTATTTTCTAATTGGCCTTGTGTTTTCTTCTTTTATCGAGTGGTTATTTAGGAGTGTGTTGCTTAATTTCCACATATTTATGAATTCTCAAATATTTATAATTTCCCTCCTTTGTGGTCAGAGAACATAGTTTGTATGATTTCAATCCTTTTAAAGGTATTGAGGCTTGTTTTATAGCCTAGCATGTGGTTTATCCTGGAAAATGTTCTATGTGCACTTAAGAAGAATGTGTATTCTGTTGCTGTTGGGTGGTGTGTTCTATGGATGTCTGTTAGGTCTAGTTGGCTTATGGAGTTATTCAAGTCTTCTATTGTCTTGTTGATCTTCTTCCCATTTCTATCTGTTATTGAAAGTAGGATATTGAAGTCTCCAACTATTGTTGAATTGTCTGTTTCTTGCTTCAATTCTGTCAGCTTTTTCTTCGTGCATTTTTGGGCTCTGTTGTTAGGTGCATATATGTTTGTAATTGTCGTATCTTTCTCATGGAGTTATCCTTTCATCATTATAAAATGTCTCTGTCTCTGGCAACATTTTCTCTTTAAAATATACTTTGTAAGACATTAGTATAGCCACTGCAGCTTTCTTATGGTTGCTATTTGCATGATACATCTTTTTCCATCCTTTTACTTTCAACATATTTGTATTTTTGAATCTAAAGTGCATCTTAGTAGACACCTTAAAGTTGGATCTAGTTTTTTCATCCAGCCTGACAATCTCTCTGCCTTTGATTGGATTGTTTAAGCCATTCACATTTAATGCTATTGTTGGTATAAATGGATTTATGTCTGCATTTTATTTTTTGTTTTTTACATGTCTCATGTCTTTTTTTTGGTTCCTCTATTCTTCCTTTATTGCTTTCTTTGCATTAAGTGAATATTTTCCAGTGTACTATTTCAATTCCTTTAATGACTTTTATTTTACTTTTTTGTGAGTTTACTTTCTTAGTAATTGCTTGAGGGCTTACCATATACATGTTAACTTATCAGAATTTCCTTCAGATTTATATTAACTTGATTTCAGTGAGATATTAGAAGTGTTACCCCTATATTTCTCTATCCCCTCTTTCCACTTTTTGTGCTATTATTATTCCACATATTACATATATATGCTACAAACCCAACAAAATATTGTTACAATTATTACCTTGTATAATTGTATGTCTGTTAAAGAAGCTAAGCCAAGCAAGGAGAACAAGTATATATTTATAAAATTTCTCATGTTAACCTTCTTATTTACCATTTCTGGTTTTTTTAATTTGACCTTGTGGATTCAAATTACCATCTGGTGTCATTTTCTTACTCCAATATTGCCTTGTTCTCACCTAGCTCCTTTGTGTGTTATTGTCAAAAGTGTTACATTTCTATATGTTCTAAGCCTAACAGTACAATTATATAACATTGTTTTATACGGTTGCTTTTTAAATATGAGAAGAAGGAAAGAATATGCATTTACACTGTCTTTTACAATTACATAAGTACTTATACCAGTGCTCTTTGTTTTATGGTGTGGATTCAAACTACTGTCTGGGATCACTTGGTTTCAGGCTGAAGATCTTCCTTTAATATTCCTTGTAAGACAAGTCTGCTAGCAACAAATTCTTTTAGTTTTTGTTTATATGGGAATGTCTTTATTTACCTTTACTTGTGAAAGATAGTTTTGCTGAATGTTAGATTCTTGGTTGACAGTTTTTTCTTTTAACACTTTGAATATGGCATCCCACTGCCTCTGGCCTCTCTTGTTTCTGATGAGGTGTCAACTATTAAATTTAATGGAGTTCCCTTCTGCATGACAAGTCATTTTTCTATTGCTGCTTTCAAAATCCCTCCCACCCCAGCATTCTTACTATGATGTATCTGGGTGTGGCTCTCTTTGTGTTTATCCTACTTGGAGTTCATTGTGCTTCTTAGATATGTAGATTAATATTTTTTATCAAATTTGGGATGTTTTGATCGTTACTTCTTTGAGTACTTTTTTCTTACTTCTTTCTCTCTCTCTTTTTCTTCTGCTACTCCTATTATGCATATGTTAGTGCACTTAATAGTGTCCCATATTTCTCTAGCATCTGTTCATTTTCCCCTCTTTTTCCCCCTGCCCCCTCTGGGGCTTGTTTTGGTGATTGTTTGCTTGTTTATTTGTTTAGTGATTTAGCTGGACTGTTTTCAGCATGTCTATTATTCCATGCAATGTGAAGCCTATGATGTGGCTCCTCAGAGAGCTGCAACTCTGGGCATGTGCCCAGTCACCCTGAGATGACAGTGATTTAACAGGGTGTTCTTGGATTGTCCTTTTCTTTGAAATATCACTAAGCTCTTTCCTGCATTGATATCACACCTGGCTGTTAGGCCCACTAATTGCTAGCTTATTGCTCTATTGTTTTTGACAATGCCTTGGGGCATAAATTGCTCTGTATCTGATTCAATTAAATTTGAGCCTCTTTGGAACAGATTAGCACTTACTCCAGGGGGAGAGGGGGAAAGGTGTAAAGGGGCACATACGTATGGTGACAGATAAAAATTAGACTATTGGTGGTGAGCATGATGCAGTCTATACAGAAACTGATATATAATAATGTACACCTGAAATTACACAATGTCATAAACCATTATGGCCACAATAAAATAATTGAAAAAAAATTGGAGGCTTTTTGCAGGAGTAGTTTTGAGGCCAGCTTTGAGGTTTGTTCTGACCCCAGGATAGTTTTCTTAGCTATCTCTCCCTGGTTCTCTCTTATAAAGTAGCTGGTGGTTTAACTTGTTACCTCCATACAGCTAACATCTCCTCTTAATCGCTTGCCACCAAAATCTCCAGGTTTTCCAGAGCACCCTTAGACTTGAACTTCTCTACACTCTATTACTAATAAAGTCAGTTCTTTTGGAGAGAGCTTTGGCACTCTTTGTTGTTATTGACTGCCTCTTGCCCTAGGCAAAATCTTTGAGCCACAACTTTGGAGCTGTGGGTAGGGATAGT